GGATCATTCTAAATGTCATTTGCAAGTGGGCATATTAGGCCGAAGTCTGTGTTTCATCTCTTAGTCAATTGTTCCAAATGCTCTGTTCGGAAGGCTTCACCTGTTTTGCGATGACAATGGTCTGTCCGCATAAAGTCCAATTCAGATAACTGTGCGCTGTAAGCTCAATCAGCAGACCATCCACGGAAATTAAAAATATCTCCACATCCGCAAATTCGCCAATGATATTTTCATACTTGGAACTGAAGCGATTTAATACCTGCAACAATGCAACAGTAATAAATTCAAAATCTCTTCCATGCTCATCCCTGTCACAGGCGGAGGCATTCGGAAATAATCCAGCTGGGAGCATGTGTAACCACTCGCCAACAAGATTGTAGTGGCCCTCATTTTATGAGAGTTGTTTACAAGCAAGCGGACTTTCTCGCATACGCCAATACCGACTAATCGTCGAAACGAACGAAAGAAGAAACAATCGCCAAGAAACTGAGTGTCCCAATGAGTCCTCGATTTCCAGTCCGCCATAAGGCAGTGTAAAAAGGAAAAAATCAAAAAAAAAAAAAAAGCAGCAACGGAAATTTTGATGTGTACAAACTCTGAAGATACAATAACAGAACTACTGGTTTGAGATGAACTCATCGAACTTTCTGAAAACGCAACCAACAATGTTACTGAGATGTCACCACCAAATTACCACTAATGTGAAACTCTCGCCGAATGGCACTCAGAGATGACTGCTTCCCTTTACTGATGCAAAACTGCGTCTACCTTTTTAAGCCCGGTAAAACCCGTTCACAAGAAATAATCGCTTTTTGTGGCGGCTATGTATTGTGTGACAACATGAAAAAGCATTTTTTTCAGTGTAATGAATTAAAAAAAAAAAAACTAAATTTAGCTACTTACTTCGACCACATCCACATTTTCCACGGTAAAATCATAATTAATGGTAATATCGCCCGCTTCTTCTTCTATGCTCTCCGTGTCTTCGCCACCCGTTCTGATGGACAACGAAGTTGGAGTGACACTTCCGGCCTAAAAGTAAAAAATTCCTGCGCCGCCTGATGATAGGGGATAAGGAATGTAGATGAAAAGGCAAATGAGAACATTTCAAATACGAATACTCGGAGCAAACTGTTGAAGTATGCAATGTTAACGAATTTCTGCACAGGCTGCGCAAAAAAAGGCGCACGAACGCACCAATAACCCTAATGTCGGGAACTGTAATCATTATATGGGCTGGCAGAGTGCCAGAAACTTGTTGAAAATGTGATGCTTTTTAACAAAAACACAGAAAAGAGATTATGGAGGTGATTTCGTCTTTTTTTGAGAACATGGTAATTTCGCATTAGCTTCCTTGTATGCGGCCCTCGATACAGAGAGATACAACCTTACCAGCGTATGGCCGCTGCTGGCACTTGCTACCATACGCACTAGTTCTCAAGTGCTCCCACCTCTCACTGAAAGCAATATGGAGGACAGGTTCTGGCTTTTATGCGTTTTATGTTCTATGACAGGACGCATGATGTGTCGCGCTTCTATCCGTGTGGGTGTGTGTGTATGTGCTTTTTTGTCTGATCATATATGATGCATATATCCGAGTGCATTTTGTCCTTTTTATACGTTTTTTGCAGCAATGCAATGCGAAAAACGCATACTGACGAGAGGTTGTCTGTGTGTCTGTGTGT